GAAAGGATGGTAGGACTGTTCAAAAACGCCATCAAGCACGCTCTGAACAACAAAACACCGCAATTTGACAACCTCTACACTCTCGCAAAAGAAGCTGAAGCAATTTGCAATTGCAGGCCTTTAACATATGTCAACGAACAGCCTGACTTCATACCTCTGAGACCGGTAGATTTTATTCGCCCCAGAGCTATTCTTTCAGCCCCACGACTTCTCGATGAAGATGACGAATGGAAACCAATATACACCACCAGAGACGATCTGATCCAAAACTGGCGATTCGGACTACACCTTTTGGACAATTTCTGGAAAAGATGGTCAAATGAATACCTAACGAGCCTTCGCGAAAGATACCAGTCATCTCATCCTCACCCAAGAAGCTATGAAGAAGATCATCCTCGACACGGAGAATTCGTACTCATCAAAGACAACAACCTCAAAAGAGGCCAATGGAAATTAGGACAAGTTTGTGGATCGTGTGATGACTATCAAAGATCAGTGCAAATTCGGTTACCCTCCAAAAGGGTGATAACACGTCCACTAAATCTTATATCTCGCTTCGAGATAAACGCAAACAATCAAGATCACTCAACATCAACAACCGCAATGGAATCTTCAAATATACATCCAATGGTCACTCGCTCCAAAGCACGTCAACAACGTCACTTGAACTTTACATACATGTCGCTCGCACTATCAGCACTTACACTCATATCGCAAGCCACAACGCATTCGAAATGCCCGAAAGAGATCAACATTCCCAAAAGGATACTGCATACAACCGCTTGTACAAGCCAGGGAGCAGCAGTCGCAAGCTATACAACCAGCACAGGAGAAGATTTATGTTGGTTCCCGGTTCAATGTCCTAATGGAGACATTCAAGCAGCACAAACATCCAACATACAACTTTGTGGAGCCAAATGTAAGTGTCCACAATGGTCTCAGTTTTGCTCACATTATACTGGACACCGAACAACTCATTCGACTCTGGCAAATTTTCCTTCTCATCTGAAAAACTTCACACCGTCAGAAGTATGCTCCTTTCAGTCAACTCCTTCGTGTCATCCACACAAAAGAATCGGATCCTTCAACCAGATTGAACTATATGACCAAACTCAACTAATAGTTCCAAATCTCGATGTAAAAATCAGAGACTATATCGACTCCACCGACTTCATCTGTGTCAACCCAAAAGGAGAAATTAGCACTAACGATCCACCATTCAAAGGGACTTCATTCTTCTGTGAGAAGCAACAATGCGATCAGAACGCTAAGAAATTCTGTCTTTACGACAAGCCAATCGCCTTGTACAGCTTCGATAACCTTAGAGAACCAAACTCCATAATTCCCATTAAAGCCTGGGGAACAGTACTTCGCGAATTTTACCCACATCCACTACAGAACAATACCAAAAACACCAAGTTGCACATAACATGTGCGAAAGGAGGTTTAGACGTACGTTCGTCAACCATCATCGACACCTTCGAAGCATGCATTTCTTCATACTGCATCTATGCCAAGCACATATCTGAAACGACAATCCTGTTCCCAACTGAACTTATCATCTTCAAGTATTCGGTAGCAATCACAATATGGACGGACGGAATCCAAATCCACAACTCATCATTGTCTTGCTCAGCCCAGCCAATATGTGAAATTCTACACTGCACATTCTGCTTCGAATACCTGCTCAACTCACAATGTTGGGACTACATGAACGTCATTCTTATCTTCTCGTCATGTGTAATCATTGCAGTGGCATACTGGACTATAATCCCACTACTGATCCTCACAAGACAAATAGTCCGCATACCTCTACGAATCCTCAAACTCGCTTGGCATGCAATGATCAGAGTCATAACACTCTTCAAACATAGAGCGAATACCCATTCTACGTCAACTCCGATCACTCCGTATCGACGACTAAAACGCGAAAGAAGACGAGAACGACCAACTAAACGCCTCCTCACCCTGGTGAGTATCGTATCATTCTCTCTCCATTTCGATTTGGTGAGAACATGCTCTGACGTGGTCACGATGACGTCTACAGTTGACTCATGTTCCAAAGATGGTGAAAACGAAACATGTTTTTTCAATCAAGGAACTTTACTAGCACTCCAACCACTTGGACAAGAAGTGTGCTTATCAATGAGAAACTATCAAAACAAATCCATTGGACTGCTCACATTTCGTATCCATGGAATATATCACATCTGTCACAAGAAAATCGAATATTTCACCCGCGACCACCAATTTCTGACGGAATCTTCCCATAGATGTTATTGGGCCGGAAGTTGTAAAAGCGGAGTATGCGACAATACGAAAACTTCAGACAAAATCAAAGAACTCAGTCACAAAGCCAACCACCATCCAGGCTTCACATTTTGCACACCAAGTTGTCAATGTTGCGACGGTTGTTTCTTCTGCAAACCGTCTTGTCTCTTTTATCGGTACTTCGCAGTACCCACGTCCGATACTATCTATACGGTATTCACTTGTCCCACCTGGGAGCTTACCGTATCAGCTGTAGTGACACTACAAGAACAAGATAATATCCAAACACATCAAGTCGTTTTACATCCAGGAAAGGCCGTAGCTATCAACAACATCAAATTCTCACTCATGGCCATCACGACGCCACAACTACCCATACTATCTGCAACATTCATTGAGGACAATAGAAGAACCGCACAAATAATGCAAGTGCAAGCAAATCAACTCATACCACAGACCCCTGCGCAATTCCAGTGCCCGTCGTTTGATGATGCCAAAAGATTCAACTGCCGTTTCGCAGCAAATACATGCACTTGCTCCAGCGGCACATCGAAGACCAGCTGCGTCTGCGCCGAAGGAATTATGGAACCATACATGCACCAAAACACTCTTCCCTTGGTCACCAAGCTCGTCACAATCAAAAAAGTCAACAATACTCTCCAAGCACACTCCCATGTTGGCTCCTCAGTTCAAGTTCAAGTGACCATGAACAACTTCAAACTCAAATCTATCCACACAGTGGAGAAATGCAGAATCGAATCACCAACGATTCAGGGATGCTACTCCTGCATTTTGGGAGCCGGAGTAGACCTGATCTGCTACAGCAGCGAAACAGACACAACTGCAGATATCACATGTGCTGGACAACTCCAAATAGCATCTTGCTCTAAACAAGGAAAAATGAACTCCCTCACATTTCACTTCGACAAATCCGCAGTCTCCATCAACTGCACAATCGTTTGCTCAGGAGGGAGCTCCTCTTTTCTGCTACAAGGGACGCTCAATTATGTTAACGATCGAAACCTACAAATGGAAAAGGATGTAGAAGAC